TCCCGCGTGTTCACGCGCTCAGTATTGCAGCTTATATTACAGGATTACCCCTCATGCATGGCAATTTATTGATGGCTGCACATCCGTGCAGAATTTCGGCTTCCCCTCGCATTATTTCGCTTAGCTTTGGCTGAGCGAAATGCTGGGTACATTAATACCTTCTAGTAGACACCCTTATCGCATGAAATGGGTAGAAACTCGTTGAGATATGATGAACGCGATTTTGCTGCTATAATACATGGTGCACCCATGCATCCTCAGGCATGTTTAGGGCCATTTGAGTCAGCCAAAAATGATGAAATACATGCCTGAGAGTAATGGCAGCTGCCAGGGGGTGTCTGGGTGTAGTAGATATGAGGGGGGGTATAGGTACACCAGGAGACCCTCTCCAAATACCCCACTAAACGCAGCTCTGAAAGTCTGGAAAGTATATACGTGAATAGTGTATATTTATCCATGAATTTAACATATTTTATCATAATTATATATTGCCTGGAAGTTGAGTTATTGACCAATTTCCCATGAGCTGAAATATTTTATTGAGCTCCAGGAGGGGGGATATTGGCACATGTAAAATCTTTTTTTTTTTTTTTTTTTTGATCAACAATTTATATAGCGGTGCTCGATGGCAGCCCGCTCGCTATCTACAAACACGTACACTACGCAGCCTGGGTACTAAGTAAACTACTAAAAGACGTCCGCCCCCCCAACCACGAGCCTTATGGCTCAAACGCCGAAGCTCCCATAAAGCCAGACCCACCTCGCGAAAACGGTGACGCAGCGGGGAGAAGACCCCACTAAACCCCAAAGTCGTTGGACGCTGTTCGGAGGCCACGCAGCACAAATGAGATAAGAAGAGCACCACCCAGGAGGTGGCAGGGTGTCTTAAGGCCGACCAGCCAAAGAAGCGCCTGCCCGAAACCAGACGCAGAAAATTAGCGGCGCTGCAACCCGCTACAATAGCGGCCACAAGCGCGAAGAAATAGCGATAGGCGCAGGTCTTCGAACCCTAGAGCTCGGTGGTGTCAATTCACCATAAATCCCCCGAAAGGAGGAACAACCCCACCCACCACGATTATCCGACACCCGACGGGTCCCGGTTGAAGCCAAACGCCGTAGGGTTGTACTTCATAAACGATGCAATATCCCCGAGAAAACGGGGATAGTGTACAGAATATCTATCACGACAGCGAAAGAGGATATGCTGGCGAGACTGCAAAGCAGCCCCGCAAGTGCAGCCGTGAGGCTCATTGATCTTGAAGCGACGGTAATACGCTCCAATGGGCGCGTGGCCAGTTATACACCAGCAAACGCGGGCGAACTCAGTAATACTGTGTCCGAAGGTTGAAAGCCAAGGTCCCCCATTGAGGTACGATGGCTGTAGCGGCCGCCCGTTGAAGCTCTAAGAATTCAGAGCCTCGGTAAGTTGGATCCTGGAAAGTGGAACTCCACGAATCCAGGACTGAGTGCGCCGCTTGGGAGCGTAGCGTGTCTATAGAGTTGTCCGTCTTAACGATGACTTTAAGCGGTGGTACTTGTGTGCCTCACCATGGATATCCCACCGCAGAGCGGATGGGACGTAGACGAAGGTAATGCAGCGGAGATCATCCACCTCAAACCACTCTTGAAGAGCGCGACATACTGACAGACTAAAAGCCTGACCAGAATGCACACCGGGGTCAACCGCTCTATGGGCTGAGCCCATAGAGTCAGTAAAGACCATAATATGTTGGCAGTTTGCCTGCTTGACAGCAAGGCGCACTGCACACGAGATGGCATTGAGTTCCGCATCTGGGGCAGTAACTCTGCCAGAGACATAGTGAGTCCTTTCGAGCTCGCGATGTCCCTTGTAGATGATGGCAGCTGAAGTCGCCTGATACTTTGGACTTTGAGGGAGCAGAGCC